GTTCGAACCCTTCCGTTCCCTAAAACCTTTCTTTAAAAAGGTAGCAGAAATTCAGATCAGATCAATAGAAGATCACACTGTCCAAATAGTAGCCATGGTTGGAGCCTTCCGTTCCTTAAAACTAAGTAGATGAGAATCGATGCATGAGAACGATTCTAGATTCAAGCATCAAATGTTAGACTCATGTCTGAAATTGTCAGAAATCAAGCTTAATAGATAAATCCTTGTCCAGATCAGTACCTTACGAGCTATTCGTTCCCGATCCCTAAAGCCTTTCTTTTTATCAGACTACATAAATAGGAAGTGACGGAAYSACAACGGTTCATGCAATATTCAAACAACTAATGCGCGTTAGATTCATATGTACACTGGGTGATAGGCGATCAGGTCGATCGAGATAGTCACGTGSTCGCACCATCACGCGGTYCAGGTTAGTGCCGTCTGAGTCATGAAATCATACGACTTCTGAAATACGTACTTCAGATATATCTTTTACAGTAATGTAAAATGTCAACTGCATATTCACAAAGACTGCTTTTTATAATATGGATCCGTTATCTCAAAAAAAGGCGAAGACAAAACATCCAACTTATTCGGTTTTGCGGAGTGCTTTAAAGACTCAATTGCYGTTCATCGCAATGGAGCACATGGCTTTAATCATAGGAACTAAAAATCCCATCTCAAATATGTAGAATAAAATCAAAACAAGCTAAATTGATAATTCCAACGCAGTGTTGATACAATCAGTAGGATTCTTCTTCCGAGTACATCCCAGCAATATAGGAAATGTAATTTKAATGACAGTGTTTTAATATATTTGGAACAAAGAAGAGACTTCTTAGTGTCTAAGTGAATGTAGGAAAAMTGAATTAAAGAAATATTTTCCAGGATAGTTAATCATATAAATCAGCTGAGCTTTTTGGAGAAAATCAAGATTGTATTTAATGGAGTTTATTATTTCTACTTGAAAAAAGCGGTTGTTTTTGATGTGAACCCAACCTCAAATCAACTAAGTAACCTCCATTTTGACGAGTTAGATCGCTTCAGATAATCAAACAAAAGAATGTCATAATTTAGACTATGTGACTAGTTTTATCTATTGACAGCTTGAATTGTTATACCTTCTCACAGGGGTTCCAATTAAAGACTTCTGGAACATATTGTACATTGGCGGATTCATGATTTTCTTGGGGGGGTCTAAGATGGCCGCACGCACACAGAAAATGGTGACGCAATCGGCTTCACAAATTCACTCTACATGATCGGCTTCACAACACTTCACAAAGGGGAGTTCCATGGACCCACCCCTGGATTCGCCACTCTGGTAGATCATCAATAGTTTTGCGTAAATCATTTTTGAAGTAGCAGGTGTTTGGTGATTTCCTTAGATGTTTACAACGTGACAACCGGAGGAGTTGTCGCCTTTAGAAGGTTCTAGAATTGCGCTGGCCAAAACGAAACGTTTAATAAATCATAATTAAAAACACAGCCAAATACGTACACCAGCAAAAAGCTTTCTCCGCCTGTAAAACGGCCTTTTCACACCTTTAACCGAGAAGAATAAGTTTTGTATTTCGAGAGTCGAGAACAGGCAATTGATATTGGTAAGTGACAAGTGATATTTCCTTAGAGATTAAAGTGTTTTGTCATTACAATSGGCTCCAAGGAAGAATAACCAAATTTAACTTTAGAGCTTTCTGTGAWGATAGAATTAAACGAAACACCCACACATTGCCATTTTACTGAGAAATACCTTTTCTATCGCCAAAAATCATCACTCGCAAGCTTTGGAATCATCATAGGATCGCTTTTACATCTCTGTTTTGAGTCCGTTGATTTCCAGACAGGTACAAGGTAGCTATGATCATCTGACTAAGACAAAATTGAAAGGCTTTTATTGATTGATATCATTTTGACCAATRGTAATACTCGTGAGTTTAATAGTCTATGGGAGTTTAGGGGTATTGAAAAAAACAAGAGTTAAGTCGAGGATCCCATATCTGTGCTATTTTCCTTAGTGATTACGATGACATTGGTCATGCAATATCATAAAATGGACAATGCATGAATCCTTTATTACAATACTTCATCTTCCCACACGAGAAAGTGATAGAGCTTTGCTTGTTAAGAAACAWATCTTTAGCTCCGCTATTTTAAAACCTATTTTCGAAAAACATTTTTCAAAAATATTTTTAAAATTATATTGAAAGATTAATGTATTTATTTCATATTTTAAAAATATTCTGTTTAATTTTGAATTATAATTTTGATATTTTTGAACATTTGACTGTTGTATTTAATTTCAATAGATTAAACATTTTACTGRCTGGATTCAGAGTCACGTAAGCTGTCACTGGCTGGATTCATAGTCACGTAAGCTGTCACGCAATCTTCGCAATGCGCTAGTAGTYGGGCTGTAAACATCATTAATTTAATTTCGTACAAAACTGATATATATTTAAAATAATGATCGATCGAGTACTCTAATTTCCTTTTAAGTACAACGAAACAGCATCAGGTAGCGTAATTTGCCGATTCCATTCTAATCAGAACAATAGCTCACTATGTATCCTAGCTCATTCCGTATATTTAATATCATAAAAAGACGGTGGCTATAAAATTCGCATACGCATATCTAGATACAAGTGCTAACACTGAAAGATTTCTGGCTCCCGAGTGGCAAGCACACACGAAAAATTTCCTTGTTTGAAGGAATTTAGCATCAGGAAGTATAATATAACTGGGGGTTGAGCKTTTGAAGTTTGAAAAGAATCTCTTGTGATTGGATAGAGCATCTGACGTCACGGTTGACTGCGCCTTGTGTGAAAAGACACATTGACAATTTCACGCTCAAGGAATATTAAATCCTATCGGGCACTCGATTGAGTCGATCGTGATCTTGCCGGAGTGCTACCGCAAGTCCTATTACACCAGCAAAATGGAGATTTATAGAGCCAAGTACGATTACCAGGACGCTTCCGATGCGCTACTCAGCTTTAGACAAGGCGATAAGTTTTATATCATTGACAAGRCAAGCAGCGGATGGTGGGGAGCTCGAAGACTTGATAACAATGACTTGGGATATGTTCCATCATCATATGTAGAAGTAAGATTCTGTTTGTATTTTCTGTAAATATAGAATCTATAAATCTGTCGGTAATCCTCTTGGAACAGTRATGCAAATCTTTCAGACAACAGAGCTCGCATGCTTTAAGGAATTCTTTAAGGATTGAGAAATTTGTTTCAAATGATCAACTCTTGTATAAAATTGCCTAAAATCTATTTTGGAGTTTATGCGAAATGCCACATAAGTGCTTCAGCCATTTATTTTACAATRCCAAATACTATTATGGATTTTTGATTTTTTTATTGTCTTTAAAAAAATATTTCTGAATCGAGCTCAGATCTCAGAAAGAATTCGATAACTACTAGCCTTGCGAGATATCAGTATGGAAGTGTACTAAACTATATAAATATAAATATATATATATATGGACGCGAAGAAAAAGGAAAAGCAGAGATTTGGGCTACAGTAAACGGAAACTATGTTTTCTAACTAATTGACTTTGCAAAAGATCACGATATACCCCCCAACAATTTGCCAAACCATGTTGTTTTGTTGACCAAGTCTAATATGATTGGTCAGTGGCTATAAGGCTAACAGGAATTTTATCGATGCAAAACAACCATAGTCATCGATAAATCACACACGTAGCTAAACAAATAGACTACACTTCCGAGGAGAAAATCAGTTGCTTAGGAAATGAAGAATATTTAGAACAACAACGATAATATTCCCTCTTAATAATCTTTATGACAATTCAGTTATCCTARTATGAAGTTCTTTTTTACTACTAGACTCTACCCTTTTTAGTTCCTCAGCACATACTATAAACCAAAGGGGCTCTCGTTACATTTCCTCGTTCTTAATACTTTATCATTTTCACATTGGTTTAAGCATCAAATATATATTATAGCGGTGCGTGGAAAGGTAGTTTTGTATAGAAATAGTAATTAGGAAAATCAAGCGACATTGTTCCCATGAAAAAGGATTTGCATTTGTTATTGTTCTTCAGGATTTGGAAGACAATAAGATAAACGTACTTAAAATCATTCTTTTGAGTAGTTAGATCTTGTACATGTCTACACGCATATTTTTGTAGGTGGAAGTTAAGCAGAAATTTTATCTTGCAASAGAATAGGTTTTCAGAAACAAGTTCCTGCATGGATTTTATATATAATTTATTAGTTTGTACCTTTCAGAACATGCAAAAAGCGTTTGTTTGTTTCGCTCGTCCAATAGYGAGGTGTTATTGACGTGTTATGGACATAGATTGCTTCATAAAACAAACACATCGAAAAAGTGTTGAGATAAGTCGAAACAGATAGGGCGCTTGGAATTCACGAAGTACTCGAACTTTCTCAGGTATTTGTACTCAATATGAAATTAAATTTCGTATTCTACATTTAATTTATGACAGTTTCCTGACAGCACCACAAATTGCGTTGGAAATTGAATTTGATTGCTAGAAATGAATTTTGACGTAAATTTGTCATGTTAAATTAACAAAACATTATCCTCATTATTCATGAAATCCTACCCAATCATTCTCAAATTCTAGTATTTTACCATTGTCTTCATTGCTTCGGGCGGAAAAAATCGGGCAATACACTATCGTCAATCAGGGTATTCAAAAGTCTATTGCCCGATTTCCCTGTCACAAAGCGCGTAGCAATGAAAACAGTAATGTTTACATTTTCCGGTAGAGTGGCTCTTAATTGCAACTTACACGTGCTTCATCTGAAATACGCTGGCTACAGGAAACTCGGCGTAGTATTTGCCCAAATTAGGCAACATCATTGTTTTCCGTGTGTAGCCAACGTTTACATAGTCGGACAAAACGGAAAAATAGAATGACACGAGAATCGACGTAGACCGTGATTTTGAGATGGGAGCGTCTTGATTTCACCTTAGAACGTGAGTAATATTCTTGTGGTAAAAATTGCCGATATGTGTACGTTTCTACGTTCACATATTTTGAAAAATCACATTAATACTTTTGGAATGTAATAAGTTTCTCGACTCGCCATTGCGCCTCAAAACATACTTCTTCAAGACTTAATACTATATAATATAATACTATAAGTTATACGATTCGGTTTCATTCAAAATTACCGTGTATTTTTCTTCTGTGAACCTTGCGCTCTAGAGGGAATGTCAAATGCCTAAAATAACACTTGTAACGCAAGCGAGCGCCTGACGATATAACTTTGGCATCGTAGAGGGCTCCGGATTTAGGGCGAACACAGGGTCCTCTTGAATTTGGACGAACAGGAAATTTYACTAGGTGTGTGGTTGCAGTAACACCCTTTATATATATTGGCAGAGTATCGCACAGGTTTACAAATTTAGCTTTGAATTATATTGTGTACACCTTAACACAAGGCTGAATACAGTTTAATATTATTATTACTATGGATATTTTACTTTTAACATTGAATTTTCCATTACAATTCTAGGATTATTTTTCCTTTTTATAAGCACGCAAAAAATTTTATCGAAATAGGGGCTTTCACTTATCTCTTATCATCTCCAATATTTTTCATTTTTCAAATATTTAAGCTATTTTGAAGGTTTCAAGTTACTATTTTCTTTCTTGCTAGTTCATTCCTTGGCTTCAAAACGCATTAGGATAAAATATCATGTAATTTGTCATTTGTTGTTTACTCGTTTCGTGGTTTATGGTTCGTTGTATGTGGTAAATCTGGCGAGTGAGCTTTTTAYAGTAGTGTTCAGTAGATAATTAGAATGATTAATTAATAGTGGCATGACTGTAATAGTTTTGTCAGTGCATAATATTGCCATTGTTTAGGYGGTTTTAAGGTTAAGCTTATCTGAAGAATCACATGCAACCCATCAAGCTTTCAGTATTTAGGGATATAAAACCATTAGACAATAGAGGGTGGGGGTTGCAAAAATCCCCCCAAAGATATCTAGCAAGGACTTCACATGGAAAATAAATTTCACACAACCTCACCTTTCAGGAATGCAATATCAAGGAAGCATTACAAAAACAAATGTTTGCAGGACTTGCTACAAATAAATTTTGTCGTGCAACATTCCTATTATTCCAATTATCTAATGGTGTATTCCTTAGAAGAATCATGGCTTGTGATAGCCAYGATAGAATTTAAATTTTTTAGGAAAAGCAACTCTTTAAGTTTTAGTAGTCAGAGCTATCTTCCAAACAGAACAAAAATAAGTGAGTGAATGAGAAAATGGTAGAAAATTAGATGAAAAACTAAGTAATGTTCTGGACAGGTGCACAYATGGAAAAACTGAAATGCATTAATAATGGAATAACTGTATACCTGGACACATTTGCATAACTGACCAAGGCACYATAATACACATGTACATAATACTGAATAATTAGGAATATGGCTGATGTAAGTATAATAGCTTTAGTTTTACAGTCTGGTATCCTAAAAAGATTCTCATTAGCTGCATAAGCAGCTGATATTTTCTTTCTCTGATCTGCTATCCTGGAATAATTATTGCTAAACAACAATAAAAAATTGCAAAATGAGATAAAAAGTAAACGAAAAAAAAAAAAGATATTTACCTTCCTAGAGTCAGTCCAGATAAGGAAAACCTGTACCCTCAGTCTTGAAAAAGGAACTCAGCTTAATAGCCTCAGTCGATATATCCAAAACCTTGGGCATATATCATTTTCCCCAATCTGGACCTCCTAGCCAGTAATTAAACTCTGTGTATTACAAGTCTGTATGCCCTCTAAGACTATAACAACTGTAATATATCAGTCTTTTAAAGATTARGGTTAATACTTCTAAAGGTACTAATTACTCTTTTAGAAAAACCTAAGATGTTTTCTTATTGGAAATAACATCTGGTTTCATGAACTGTTGAAGAAGATATCAAAACTCCACTTCTTTCTTGTTTGATCTCATTTATTAGGTCCTTGGACACTCAGCTTTTCTTCAACATTTTCCATGGACATATGAAGCAAAAAATAGATCCAAATATATTTGATACTTTCAATTAGAAACCAAGATAGTTGGTCAGCTTATGGTTTAGAATCTATCAAAGAATGCTTTTTACTTTGWTAGGAGAAAGCTTGTAATCTGGCATCACATCTTTTATTTTTTCCCAAATCAAATGTTTAAATATGCCTTTGCTAAAATTCTTTTATTAAATTTGAGGGTTTTGTATGGGTTTCAAATATTTAATATTTAATAACAAATCTAAGATCTGAGGTAATATTTGSCAAACACATTTTCCAGAATCCTATTGAAAATGTACTTGCCTGACAGTAAACCCTTTTGACAAGTTAAGCCATGTCATTAATTTTTTTCATTTATTCACACTTCCACTAMGAATATTAATTTTCTTTATTCATAAGAAAAAGTGACAATAACAACACTCCAAACCGTCCAATCAAAAAAYACTAGTACTTTAAATCTTTTGTTTATATGCCAAACTCAAATAGATTTTCTTCCTTATTTTGAACCTCAAAAAAACTGTATTCAAATGAATCTATACACTTATATTACTAGATGTTTGTATAAATAATAGGGTTACCAGTTGCCTTTAGACTCAGCCTACACATACAACTCCTAAGTAAAATTTTCAACTGGAGTAAGTTATRTTGTTGTTGTTATTATTATTMTAGATTTGWTGTACTARTTTATTKCATATCCATAGCAACTGATCACAGATTATATTATATACATATTATATATTTTGTCTGGCTATTGTTTTCAATACGAAATGTACAATGTATTCATGGCTTTGGAAAAGCTGGTTTCTATTAATAGCAAAAAAAAACAAAAATTAAGATGGTATTTTTGAAAAAAATAGACATTTTAACTTTACAATTTTTTATAAACCACTACATTGTCAAGTAATATTCTTATTCTTATATCATGATTATTATTTTTTCAGTTTATAACCCTTGTTGATCCGATAACATTAGAATACATGGAAACAGAGYCACCACAACCTGAGAAAGACATCAAGATGGATGCTCTCTGTGAACTTACAGCGCAAACGCAATGTCCACACTTAGGTAAGTATAATAGATCTATTTAATAAAGAATTTTATTTTATTTTTAGCTAAAGAGACTCCTTTATATACTCCAGTATATTTTAAATTCAAACGACATAATTTCCAGCTCTTTGTAACAAGTTTAAAGTGAAGAGTTTAATGATCTATGAAATATGGTTTTCAAAGCTAAAGTGCTCATTATTTTAAAGAAATTCGTAACGAGTACTTCAGTGTGGGCGGTTTCATATCATATCATGTTCTATACTCATTCAGTAAATCCACTTGAGAAATGTGAGGCTAAATTTATAAAACACTGAAACCATTAAAGCAAAAAAGACGGTTTGAAATCTAAATTTTATGAAAATATAAAAATTCTAAAAATACAACAAAACAGTAAAAAACTCATTTTCTTAAGAATAAAGTATCTTGAATTGAAAATTTTGCTTAAAATTTCATTAAATATAATWATGTTCTACTCATGTGTAAACTGTTAGTGGCACACCCTTTGCTAAAATTAAAATAATATACTGTACACTATTAAATCTATTTAATTGCCATGACAACAAATCTTAAATTTAATTTTTTCTTTATTATAGTTTATAAAATAGTCTATATTAAATTTGTCTGACTTATGGTTAGCTAACTAATAGGTTTCCTTAGCTATATGGTATTGCAGATACAGAAAAGGACAAATATATATATTATTAYGGAAAATTTAGTACCAAAATTCTTAGTAAAGATCAATATGGCTATTAAATTAGCAAGCTTTGCTATAGCTAGCCAAGATAAAAAATCACCAGATGTGACTACCAAGGTGACTACCACTAAGTTAGAGCCCTGTGACATTAATGAACTTCTGTCTTGTTTAGTTCATTAATTTTTCTGCTTTGAGGTGTCTGCTTTGTCTTTCCGTAGACATGATTTAATTAATTAACCCCATTTGAAGAGTCATGCTGTAGTATTTTATGTAAATATATGGGTCTAGTTAAATATGTTCGTGCTAAGTTTTAAAAACAAATATCAATTGAAATAGTTAATATTGATAAAAATATACTATCTTACAGTAAATAGATTTGAAGCATTTAAAAATATTGATATTATTCCAACCTATGTTCKTGGAATAGGAAGGAAATCACTGGCAAAGTGATTTAAAATAATATTATTTCAAAAGCATGGGAAGTATTTAGTGGTTCTTTATCATTTATGTTATTTTTAAAAAATATTATTTTCTATCGTGTTTCACATTTATTTTTCACAAATGGATTCCTAASTTCCAATGTCCAATATAGAACAACTTGTATAACAGCTGCTTAACAACCATAAGTGCCCACACGAATTCAGAAATATGTTAGAGTTAAATTTATCCCTATATTATCTGACAAAGAGTTGTACTACAAAACAACAGAGTGCTCACCCAGGAAATTCATTATTAATTTATTGAAGGCTGGCTTCAAGGCATAAAAGAAATTTCCTATGACTTCTAAATTTTCACGAGAAACTAGGAATTCTAACAAAGCCTAATTTCTTTTTCCTACAAACTTATAGTCAAGTCATATTTTTTCACGGTCATATTAATTTTGTCTTTCATTTTATTTAATGCATGTTCAAGACAGAACACAAAAAAATGACATAGTTTGGTGGGAAACCAAGTCCAACAGTCTAAAGGGAAGCAAGTTGAAAGTTTGCCAACAAACTAATTTTAAAGCTTTTGAATCYGTTTTTTGAAGCATATTTTAAAAACATGCATGACAAAAGGATTAAATGAATGAAAAAGCAAATGATTGAATGGAAAATGCATGAAYATGTAAAGTATACAAAAATAAGGGGATTAAATCAAACATTAAGTAAAATTGTCTTTCAGGGCTTAAAATAATGATGGCTAAGATGTGGTCATGATGACAGGCCTAAGCCGGCCAAATTAATTTTAGCTCAAATCATATTTCCTTTCTGGCTCAATGTTACTGGTCAAAATAGCCAGCAAGCTAAGGCTGACAAGTTCCAATTTTGGGCAGACATTGTCTGATTTCYAGCTGTTATTTTAATCCCTGTCTTAACCGGAAGCTGCTGGTCAACATCACAAACRCAGGGATTTACCTAACTTGTGTTTTTAAGGTACATTATATAATTTTCAATCATTATTTCAACAGGACGTAATCACCCAAGTTATCCTCCAGAGGACTACATAAAAAATCCACAAGACAGTCCAACACAGTCAAGAAAAAAAACTCGGCCAGATAACCAAACAACAGAGCAATCTAAACTACAGAAAGACCTTAAATTCAGCCAACAGAGGTACATGTGATTTGTATTAGCATTCTGTTTTTGAGGAATGTACAGATTGATGCTCCACGAGGTAACTCAAAAGTACCACTCAAATTAGAAACAATCCTTTTCTGGTGATATGAGTAAATCATTAAATCCATTAATTTCTTATTTTCTCATATTTGACATTTGTTAATTCTACTCACAGAGGTATACAGTTGGGCAGACCAGAGCTTGTTAAAACGTGGGAAAAATTTGAAAGTAAAAAGACAGCAAAAGAACAAGAACTGCTAAATGAGACAGAATTAGCAGCAAAACTAAAGATTATATCCAAGAAACTYGAGGTAAGACAAGTTTGATCTCCCTGTAAAATAGCCCATGAAATTCTCTGAGCCAGCTAGTCAGCTAGGGTGTGACCAGCTCACAGATTAAATATATGGAATGTAGTATCGTTGTTGGGTTTTATGGAGGAAGAAAATCAAAAGAATCCAGAAAAATTCTTCAGATCAAGGGAAAGACATGACAAATTTAACTTGGGCATTAGCCATTACGAGGTTGAGGGAAAAATTRGGTCGAATTTGTGTTGCAATGCATCTTGGGGCTGTTTTAGAGAACAATATATTATTTAGAGTTGCCATCTTAAACATTTGTCCCCTAAAATAGCCCCAAAATGCACTGTAATGCAAACTTGGCCCAGTTTTTGCCTTATCCTTAGGCTGCGTTCATATGTATGACAGGGGGGGGGGGGGCAGGTGAACTCTTTAAATGACAAAAAAATTCTTAAGACCCCCCCTTGAAGTCCCCAAAAGAATAACTATACCCCCTGGGCAATCTCTCTTTTCTAAAAATTTTGCATCCCCCCCAATTCTGTGATAAAATTTTTCAAACCCCCCCATTTTACTGGTAAATATTTTTTTCGATCCCCCCTAAATTTCACCTGCCCCCCACCCCCCCGCCTGCCATACATTATGAATACAGCCTTAGAAGGGGTAATGCACAAGTCCAGGAATCGAACCTGAGACACCAGAGGGAGACAAGTGCACTACTCCTACATGTATGCCATCCTGATTTGCTTTCATTAGAAGAATTAAGAAATTAAAAATACTAACTCATAGAAAATCTTGCTTCTATCTGACAATTYGTAATGGCATTATTCCTCTCACAGGAAGAAGAACAAAGCAAGAATATTGAAGACTTAAAACCAGAATTTATGAAAGTAAATTTAAAGAAATCAAAACCTCAGGTCGCAAGCTGATTTMACATTGACCAGGACTTTATCTATGAAGACATTATTAAGTGAAAGGATTACATACAGTACCAGCAGCAAATGATAAAAAAGACTGAAAAAGAGATTCAAATTTTATCTTCCTAAAGTAAGACAAAAGATATGGTTTAATACTATAATAACCATTTTACAATCAGAGTCAACAGAAGAAAAAAAAAACACTGTAAAAGTCTAGAATAAGTACTTGTTTGGATTTTTGTTACRATTAAATGAGTGATTTTTAACAGTTAAATTTGTGTACAAGTTGAGTGAGAGTTGCATACCGAGAATGGAGGCTTTTAACCATAGCCAAAGGCCAGAGAGATATATTGGCTACCTTAGAGCAGAAGATTTGAGGATTGTACCTGCCTTATTTCATACCTACAGGCTTGAGGTTTTCAAATGAGGATTTAACAACACAGCAAATCCSAAGAAAAAATGTGATAATATTGGCACTCAAGCATTCTCGTTTTAGTGAGCATACGTAGATTATGAATTGTGGCACTTTCGATGTTTTTGCTCATTCGGTCCTCATGGGCTATTGACTCAAAGTTCATTCAGTCTTGAGGACTAATAATATTGCTTATTAGTCTACTAACCATTTCACTGGTTAAGTTTATATGAYCACTAACTCATATGCAGTGCATCTGCAATTAAGACATAAGATGAGCAAGGCTAAATGTAGGGCTCTAAATAAATACATGTATGTATACACATTCAGTTGCTTATTTTAAGTTTATTGGCTTAGAAGTGTACTTATAAGACTTTCTCAATGTCTGCAGCTAATAAGGCAATGATAAAAGGGTAAATTTTACGCTGTCTGTGAAAAGATGGAAAAAAAAAAAATGATGAAGGAATAGCGTCAGAAATGTCAGTTTTTTCATCTTTTCACGGTGTAAAATTTACCCTTTTATCATTACTGTTTCATTAGAAACACCGATGCAACTCACGCTAGTTTTTAGCTAGTTATCTCAGCGGATAAGGTAATAGAGTGCAAACACCATAATACATGTATATGAAAATGTACAGTTACAGTACTACATAATTAATACTAATTTGTACTAAATGCCACAGTTGAAACAAGGATTTCATTCAAACGGGAATATTACAGTAAGTATAACTACATATATACTTTTAAGGCTATACTCTTAAAAAGTGTCAAATACAGTACCAAACTTTAAGATCAATAGCCCTTRTTCGTGGTGTGAAATTGTTTTCCTAATTGAACATGACAAACTCCTAGAGGAATAAACAGCTATTGAAACTTGGCAGGATATCATCATTATTCCTTTCGTATACTTTAGGATACTCATGGATTTTTCGGAGAATAAAAACAAAAGAAAATCAATCCTCTGGAGGTTTGTTATTCTGAATTGAGAAAACATTGTCACGCCATGAATAAGGTCTATTAATTCATTTAGATGTTTATAAACTTTGTACGGTACTTGGTATATTAAATAAAATAATAATATTAGCTTTAAATTTGAAGAGATATTCTAGCCCATTTGGAAGAGAGATTGATATACCAATAATATTATGGAGTTTGAAATAATTTAAGGCTTACTCTTAGTGCCTATTCTTTCAAGCAATAATAAAATAATAAAATGATTCGTATTTAGACTTTTTCCTGCCTCGTTACTTGTTTACCTTATTGGTACTTCATGTATGCAGCATTAATGGCTTCAAACCTTCAGATCTTATCTAACCCTGTAGTTTTACACCCTCTAGGCTGATCAAGGTCAGGGCATCAGGCTAACTCAAAAGATCGAATTCGAATTTAGGTAGTTAGATTTTACAGATGGAGGAACGAATCAGAGATACCCGAGAAAAACCTCAAAATCATAAATTCAGAGACTTGGCTGCCACCACTACAATATTCTGGTTGAGCAAATCATGAAGCTGAGTGCAAGAATCAAACACGAGACCTAGCTCAGAGGATATTATCCACTACACCACCCTTCATTTCCATTAATCCAAAAAACTGTGAATTCTGGCTGAAAAATAGCATGTCCTTTACGATCACAAAGTTCTGGAAAACTCTATYAGTTTGGATTGGGTAATCCACTTTTCTCACTCTTTTCTGTTCTTCCAGTAGATGCGTGTACCATTCTTCTCTTACCATAATAATATTTAGCAAACAATTTTCCCATATGGATTGGTTTTAACGGTAAGCACCCCCATGTCATTCCCGTGTGGAGAGTGAGTCAAAATTCCTAGATCCCTTCAAGTCAAGTTTAACTTCAAAGTTTTGAACAACCAGTGTTTTTAAAAGGATGAATAAAAATTTGCTTAAATATGTGTATGAGGAACAAGCTCATTGCTTTGCTTGTTACCATACATAATTATTTTCCAGGATTTCTGGAATTAAAAGTCAAATRAAATAATATTTTCCTTGGGATTCTCAAAAAGCAAACGAAATATTTATAACTCTAAATGATCATTTGATCTTATTTAAATACAAAGWTATAAAAATCTGATTCAAAACAACTTGGTTTTTTTTTTGCTCATACGCACCTTGAGGTCTTTATCATCCCCACTGACCCGTGATATAYATAAGGCACTTCTGCAAAGTTTTTAGACATCGTTTTGCATAAAACAATGGCTACAGACAATCTTCGTTATAAAAATACTCAAATCTATGAAATTCTTCAGGGAAAAATGAGGTTAAAAGAGAAAACTTTCTTTTGAAAACTTTATCTTCCTTTCCAGGTACAAACTTTCCCGTCTCCTAATGACCATGCGCAATACGAACACCAGCTGACCAGAAAAATAAAGCGGCTCACACGTGTTTACAAAGCATCGACCGATCGACCGGAACCGCGCCAACCGGAACCGAGCGTTKCACCTCAGTAACTGGATCCGCAGAGAAAAAATATAATATCATTTATAACGATCGAAAAAGTATTGTTTTTAGTACCATTGAGTACAAAAGCAATTAGAGTTAACTGTATTAAAGTAAATGGTCGTTCCCTTTCTAATATGCTTATTCCAAACGTTACAATGTTGTGTCCCATTTATATGCATATATATGCATATATATGGCAGATTCTTGAACAAAAGAATAGTATTGGCTGAAGYGTGAATACTGAAGCGCTAAAACAAAAAAACCCGGGCATAAAACATTAGCTCAGTTCAGCAAAATCAATTTATTTAACACCAAAACTATTTCTCTTAGATAAGCTGTGTGAAATTCTTCCATTTGGTTGTACGTGACTTTAATAGTCCGTTTCTGTCACAAAGATAATACAAAACAATCAAAGSGCAGTGATTTCGAAATTTATAGGCATAAAAAAATATGCACTTTACAAAAAAAAGTTAGTTATTTTATTTTCGCGAAATGGATRAGAAATTGATTTTAAAGACTTTTTAAAGGTTAATACTGTAAATAAACGCATTATACATTGATTCATAACAGTGCTTCGCCACACACACACTGGTTATGGTTGCCATACTCGACACCATTTTACCATCCAGATTTTCCTTCAACCATGTGCTTCGCTACTTCTAGGGGTAGTTGAACGCCTTTCATGAGAAGTTCYGTAAGACCCTTGATGGCATCAATGCAGGCTTCAAATGGAGAAAAGCAGACGTACCAACTAGCACAGAAAAAGCCAACTGGCCAGGCGATAAACCAAAGTACAATAAACCAGATGATTGCCCACAGAACATTCATGATCAATAGTACACTAAAAACCACAAACAGTATGTATACGCATGAGAAAAACTGATACTTTATAAAAGCACACGCAATTAAATAGTTAAGGGATTTTATACTGGTTGCTTTCCYTGACAGGAAGATCAACATATTTAACAACATCGATGCTTACTGTACCTCTCATCTAGGGTTCGCATACGTGCGTTTTCAGTACAGAGCGCGCCTTCACGAAGCACCAACATTCAGGACTTTTAGTGTTTAAAAATTACTAACTTACTTAACTGGCGAGCTTGCAGAGAAATTATTAATTAAGGGTTCTAGAATAAACTAAGCAGTTAGAGAAAACGATAGCATTTTAAAAGACAGYTCTTAGGCAATAAACATAAAGCATATCAAAATTGAGCATTTTGTAGTACTTTTTGTTTACTAGTTTATTAGCTCACCTTTGTGGCAAAGTTCAAAAATTCTCTATGAAAGATTCTATTRCTATGAAGATAGGCGAGTCAAGAATCTTCCAGCTTCAGAAGTAAGTAACCCTTTAGGAACCTTCTCAGAGATGCCAATATTAATAGGCGCTGTCTCGGTCTTATCAGTAAGACTAGTAATGTATGCACGATAAACGGCTTGGATAGTCCATGATCCGCAGGGAGCTCAATAATAAATAATTGTGATAGGTCAAGAAAAACCGAATATAAAACTACTTTATTAAGAGTGTATGACTGATAAAGGGGTATTTGTAGAATAAAAAMGTATTAGGAGACATTATATTGTATTGTAGAATTATAATTTGGTGGAAATATAGCTATGAAAACATTTACATGAATATATAATKTGCTAGTCCAAGACACGTCACAAAATCACCGTGACCTAGCGACAACCCAAACAATTTATCCATGTTACATATTAATAAGATTTTGTACTAACGACGAATATGGGTCGTTACTTCATGTATGACCACACGAAATGGCACTATCTTGGGGTTGTGTGTTGTGGTAGTGTTGCATCGTTCGGTGTCACCTTTAGTGATCCGTGTAGGTGCAGCACATGTAGTTGGTGTAATACCCGTAGTACCCGTGGCAGGTGTAGTACCTGTAGTACCAGTAATACCTGTAGTATCTGTAGTAGGTGTAGTAGATGTAGTACCTGTAGTATCCGTAGTACCTGTAGTACCTGTAGTAACTTTAGTAGCTGTAGTACCTGTAGTATCCGTAGTACCTGTAGTACCTGTAGTACCTGTAGTAGGTGTAGTAGATGTAGTATCCGTAGTACCTGTAGTAGGTGTAGTATCTGTAGTACCTGTAGCATCTGTAGTAGGTGTAGTATCTGTAGTATCCGTAGTAGGTGTAGTACCTGTAGTATCTGTAGTATCCGTAGTACGTGTACAACTTGTAGTAGCTATAGTAGGTGTAGTATCAGTAGTACCTGTCGTATCTGTAGTACCTGTAGTANTATACTAAATTTTAGCTAAAAAAATTTCAATATTTTCCCCCTTTGCTTGATTAATTCTACTAGTAAAAATACAACTTATCAAAATGCATGCTTATATAAATTTGCAGTTAAAAAATGATGCATATGACAACCATAATATTTCTGTAATATACTCTCCTTTACCCTGCGATACCGGTAAAATACCGGTATTTTTTCTCCCCGACAGCCASCTCCACGGAGGGTCAGAAAAAAAACCTCTGCTCGCAGGGTAACTCTCCTTGTACACTGAAAAAGACCGTTTTCTCATGATTGCGTGCGYATCCGAATTTAAGGAACTTGATGGGCCACGATACGAGAACAGGAGCTTTATGATGAGAATTATCATACATCTCTATAAAAAAGTTTTGATAAGAATGCATAAAATTGATTATTCTCGTCTTTAAATTTAAAACTGGCTYCTCAATTTTACTGAATTTGCGTTTTTCAATTTTGTGGCCTGTCAAGTTGGATGCACACGCAACCTTGAGAAAACGGTCTACAGAATTGGGGTAATATCGTGGTGTACGGGAATAGTCACCTTCACAGTTCCTTGCACCGTCTTGAAAGGTAGCTGCCCTTTGATTGAAGCGAGATGAACGGTGAGTTTGCAATGATAGAGACCTGTTAATAATTGTCCAAGGTGTTAAAAGAGACGTGACAGGTGTTAACCTTGACGTGCATTTGTGTACTTGTACTTGTAATGTATTTGTGTTCTTCTATGCACTGGCTTCACGCTGCCCAACGAGCTTTTAAATACCTCATTTGGTAAAACCAGCCAGTTTCGCATTGAAATGTGTTGGCTTAACATATGAAAGCCTCTGCGTAGAAGTATGTGAATACATTTAATGTGCATGTTCATACTTTTGCGCGTTGATCTGTAACCAGGCATAACAGTGATCGATTATGGTAATAATGAGCTGTGCAGGTATTGCTTGAATGCACACTTCAGAGCTGGATTAATGACAAAATAAAGGATCACAATCAACTATCATTTTCTTTCAATTAATTAGCTTCTACTCTTCACCTTTAGTTGTTGTTTTTTTTGGAAGAAATTTAAGTTTTGCTGTATTGATATTCTATAGTACTTTTAACAATGATTTTTGAATTATATTTTCAATGCAAACTTTGCATTAATATTTCAATACTTTTAAAGAATCACATAATTGTTTTGTCAAATGTTGTACACAATCTTATTTGATCTCTATAATATTCACTTGTTTTATTAACATCTTTACTATAGAAATTTCACATAGTCACCRTCTGTTTATAGCACTGTAGTCACCTCTTTTCTATCACCAGCACAACCCTTTGACTATGAACCCACACACAAATAAAAATATCTCATAGTACACTCAATAAAACAACTTGATTCCTTATGATTGTGCTCTGAAGGTGTACCTATTAAGTTGTCATGAGAAGCATGTGCTTGTTAGTAAAAAGATATGATTTTATTGAGTGCACTATAAATGAAAAATTGCACAAATTTCTCAAATGATTCATAATTAAAAGCTACTGATGTTTTGAAAGTTCTTAAATATTGCACTTATTGCACTCGTGCAACACATGAAAACRTTCAAAATAAATTATGAATAGTACTCAAGGTAGTGTGAGTTCCTACACATATAGACAATAAAGCTATCTGATAATCCTCAAGTATTTACGCTAACTTATGGTTTGTATGAATTGTCAATCCTGAATCTTTAAGATACTCTTGTGTTCAACATCTTCCATCTCTTTGAGTACATAAGCAACATTATACCKGAGCTGGTGAAACTTGGACAATGGTACCTGAAATAAGTAAAGGATATATTACAGTAAGGGCACTACAACTACAGTACAAACACTTCAAGTTATTTTGAATTTATATTATTATTTCCTGAACTTTCKATTGTTTTAAAGTAACACTATAAAATCGAGCATTAAGTTTCGCTGAGTTGTCAAAATACTGTAAATCTTATTTCAAAGTTTTGTAAAATTTAATATGTAAAAATGGCCAACCATGACTCAAACTGAAACACAAGTACCTGGAGTCATAAAAGAATGTGACATAGAAGCATTACCTCAAATGTTCGAATATCTCCATTACTCAGTTTTGTTTCCATCAAAATGGAGGGCTCCAATACTCTATTTAAAGCACTGCCGAGGAAAATATRATAAATTTTAACACCCACTGTCTCATAACTTTACATAAGAATTCATCAAATTGTCATCAATGCTAATTTCTTAAACTCATTGGCTGTTAGGGTATGGCTAATATGTGAATAAAGAGCTTTCAACTCTACATTTTGTGTGGGTTAATCAGTCCAAAGGATTCACAAGGTACATTTTCACAGAAAGAATATCAGTTGAAATCCCCCTTGTGCAGTGATATCAATCCAGTGAAAAAGAGCAAAAAATAAATAAAACATAAAAAATAAAAATAAAACATGGACAGCTAAAGAAACGTATTTTTTACCTTGTAGAAATTGCAACATCAACTCTCCACCTGAGAGAATCTAGTTTTGGAAGTCTTGCACCAAGTTCAAGGGCAGCATCATCTAATTGTGATCTCCTAGACCGAAGCACAAATGGTATCCATATTAATATTGCACCATATGTAGACAAAATATGCATACTGGTATTTTTTTCTTCAAAAGCTGTGTTTAACAATTCTGTGAAGAGGGTATTAACTATTTCACTACTAGAGGCTAAAAGGATCCAACACAGGCTTTTCCTGGAACATAATTAGGGTGTTTTTTATTTCTCAATATCAAAATGAAAAACATATGCTCAGTAGATATTGAAGCATTATAACTAGAATGATAGAATAAAAACCCTAGCCCACATGTTTCAACACATAGAAATGTCCTAGGGGACGGGTAATTGAAAAGAAAAAAATGTCTTTCTGCTGGTCACTTTTGGCCTTTCTAGGAAAAATGTAGCATTTCCGGCTGGCCGATTTTGGCCACTTTTGGCCGCTCTAGTAGTGAAAGGAGTGAAAGGGTTAAATTATTTTTTACAGCTTTTAACCTAAGCAGTCATCATCAGTAGTAATGAAATACTGTTTTAATATCAATTACCTTTCTCCAAAGACAATACTTGATAGATCTGGAATCAATTCTCTTGGTATCCTAAAAATAGAAAGATGTTCTTGTCACTATGACAATGCAGCTGCAATCACTGGATTACCATTTACTCTATATACTTATAATAATGCTCATTCTGAGACATATTAAATCTACTRGGCCAATGAAACAAAATCAATAAATGAAGTTAACTCCTTGACAGAGTTTGTTAGAATGTTGTTTGCCAAACATTAATTGTTGATATTACCACTAATTGCTAAAAACATTTAGCGGGGAGGGAGGGGGTTGCAGGAAAAAAACCCCAGAATTTATGCTGAATTCTTTACTCCCTATTATCTATTATTTGATTAATTATCAGACAAGCAACTAATGACTGAAGATATATTGTTGGAAACAACGAATTTTCAACAGTATAGATTGGGGTGTTGTGGCATCACCATGCAAACTAAATCATGAAATAACTGACCTAACTTCATCTAAATCAGCTTGGAATTGTTCTGGCTTAAGGGATGACAATGGCAGTCTCAATGCACTGGTCAGGATTGTGAACATGCCAGCAAACACTGATCCAACTACATCTTCAGAGACATTATCTGCCGAKATCTTGTGTAAAATCCCATCTTCAACTTGTTTGCCTTCTAAAGAAGCCATTATAACTGTAAAAAAARTCATTTTTTATTCAAGATTAATATCATAATCTACTTATCATCGCTTCAAGCCCTAGGCTGACCCAGGGGGTAAATAGCCCGGGGGGGAGGGGGTAGTCTTTCCAGTTTAGGGTAGGGATGTACCRCTGAGCACTCTGAACCCTGATCCTGTTCCAGAGTAAAATCGCTGAAATTCATAYCCTGTTCCAGAGCAAGATTGCTGAAAACCATACTCTGTTCCKGTATTGCGAAAATTGTTACCCTGTTCCAGAGAGGAGAGAGCGTGATTTCATACACTCTGTTCGAGAGCGAGCACAATTTTATATACCCTGTTCCAGAGTAGAATCACTGAAAACCATACCCTGTTTGGCGGCACGTACCCGTATAGCGAATATAGGGGAGTACCCCCCAGGGTAATTAGTGGGGTGTCCTGATATCACCATGTTAATTATTAAATAAATGACCTAACTTCATCTAAATCAGCTTGGAATAGTTCAATGACAAAGGCAGTATCAAGGCATTGGTCAGAATTGTCAACCTAGGAGCAACTCAATACTGATCTGACTTCATCAATATTATTTGAGTTAGTAATTAGTCTATTAGAATATCTATTTTCTTGCCCCTGAGGRAGGGGCATTTGTCATGCATTTTATGTCCCATACCCAAGGGTTTTAGCAGCTTTTTGCTTCCCCAAGAAATCAAACCCCGGGGCCGGAGGTGTCTCGGGGGTCAACCCAAGGGAAAGCCGATCATAAGTGGACATCAACTACATGCAGTACATGCATTACTGTATATTAATTTAAAGTTTTAATAAGCTAATACAGAAATGATGGATAAATATATTTGTTTTTTTTCCTGTTAGAATTTCGTTTAAAACGTTTAACATTTAAACAAGTAAAAGCCTTTTACAAATGTCTAAACCAATACATGAACACACGGGAAGTTGTTTCAACTCCCTGAAAAACACAATTAAGTTAAATCAAAACTAACAAAAATATCAAGGCCTACCTTGTAAAATCTTCCTAAATACTTSCTTATCTAAGGACTTTAAGTGTGGGATCATCCTTCGCACCTCATCAGGGACTTTAGGTCCAAGAAAGAGTGTGTTTTCAGTTAAAGCGTTGACTGCAGAAGAACTCCTGTCACGCGCCATCTTGGAAATCGTCACACACCACAGGTATCCCAAGCTATGTCTTATGCTCTCTGGTGTACGGATGAAGTTTTTAAAAATACTTTAAATTGTTTGATCTTAATAAATGGGATATAAATTTGATTAAAAAAATATATCTTGGTCTTTTCGTCTTTTTTTCTTCTTCTGTTTTTCAGTTGAATATTATGTAAAAACGGAGCAATCTCGTACAGGGAGCCCACGTTCATCTTGGTCAGCTCTACGTGGTGCTCTTCTAGATGTCTTCTCTCTCAGCCATGACAACAAGTTCAATCTCTCATCACTAATGTTTGTCAAGATTGCGGAACAAACGGGCTGGGTGTAGCAGTGATCAGAAGCACTCAAAATGGCTGCTGGATTGATCACTCGGAATACTCTTCGCCTAAAAACAGAAATTGGGATATGTCAGATCGAATTATGTGTGGGAGACATAACCCAGCTCCAAAAAGAAGATAAAGTTGACGTCCTTGTGGTTTCGGCCTTTCCAGGTTAGATAATATACCAGTAGATATAAGCTTGATAATCAAAACGAAATAGTAAAGTTTTAACCRTACTGATTTATTTCCGGCAGACATGTTTCGGCGTCCTTTATACGACATCATCAGTGTGACAAAGATAGTCCTTTTACAAATGCTTAGATACAGTGAATACATTAGCACGTGTATGCGTAGGGTAAATCGTAGATATAAATATATTAAGCCCTAATCATTTTACAGTATTTGCAAATGATCACTTAAGCTTAAAAACTATATATACATCATAAGATAGTGGAAATCGAAAATAACACACAATTAATGTTTAATAAGTTGAAGGACAGTTTCCCGGCGTAGGCAATCGATGAATTCGATGACATTCGACGAAAATCGATACTGATTAATCGATTAGTATCGGAAATCGATGACCAAATCGATGCCACGAACATCTATGACCGTCTATGAATTCTAATAACAAAATATTACATTGATCGATGATCAATCRATGATCGATATTCATCGATTGGCATTCCATCCTATGACCTATCGATTGGTCATCGATTGTCCAATACCAATCGATATCAATCAACTTATTATATTGATTGCTATCGAGTCATCAATTGGGTTTTCGATGATCGATTTCCATCGATTTCCTACACYGGGAGTATTTGAAGGCGTAAAGATTTGGATGAGAAGCTGATAGATAAAAATATTGATGAGGAATGCATCCTAGCTATGTAAATCGCCTATGAATCATGAAAAATACAGGGTCACTAAATATTATATTATACTTAGTATTCGTGCTGCGAGTAGGCATGAGTTGATATCTGGGTATTTATGGTTGCTGCATATTGTTTTTATCTAATGCCTGTCTCTGCATGTGATTTATTTGGTATAGTGTTGCTGACCTCAATACTAACAAGCATAGCTGTAAAATACCATAAATCATTCATGAGATAAATAATTCATTAATAAATAAACTGTTTTGACATGATTTAGATTACATGACTTGCTTGCTTGAACAGATAAATAAACAGTCTATCGAAACAGAAACTTCTGAAATTTGTGACTGAACATACATACTGCATGCCCTAAAAAATCATCTCAAAAAAAACAAATCAAGATTTTTTCCTGGCATATAGCACACAGGGATCCCAATAACCATCAAGATTAGTGTCGCATGATGGTTTGTGGCAATAATATGATATTTTTAAAAACTTGATGTGGAAGAAACCAAATAAAATGGACTATTTTAATGATATTTTCCATATTACAGGAGACTACTCTCCAACACCAAGCTCACTAATAGGTCAACTGCAACAAAAGCTTGGTGTAAGTGTTCGTAAGTTGTCAAAAGACAAGGAAGAAGACTTGCGCAAGCAGTATTTTTGTTGGTGGTCCAAACCYTTACCAGAGCACCTCAGCTTTAAAAGAATTCTTTGTTTTGAGGGMGGTTTTGGTAGCCATGGAACAACTCCTCCTAAAGTCATTGGTGCAGTGTTTAGATGCCTGGTACCAATTCTAAATAACAAGGAAGGAACTGTTATTATGCCGTTGCTTTCTTGTGGAGACCAGGTATGGCATGTTGGCATTTCACCTCACCCCACCTAACCATTTAACTCTCGGTTGAACATAAGGCCTTGATACTCTTATGCCATCATCTTACTTATGGCATGTTGGCATCTCACCTTACCTTACCTATTAAGGTTTCTTTTTTGTACTCGGTTGCGCAGAAGGCCTTGATACCCTTGTCACAAAAAATCGATTTATTATCCTAAGTTGTCATGTTAAAGACAAAATATGGTAAGCTTTCTCCTCTCAGAAATTGGGGGAGCCAACAATATTATTAGTAGCTTGCATCCCTTTCCATGAAAATGAAAGGACAAAAGATGTGGCTTCCATGTTGGTTGATATGACAAAAGACACTCAGCACAAATCTTTTGTCAAGGTCTACAAAATTGGGGGCTAGCATATGTCACATGCACCTCAAGAAGGCTAGGAGTACAGGTGTCTAGGAGTTTTTCTCCCCTTTTTGCTATCTACTATCTCAGCTTGCAAATTGTGTCCATTACTACTCCTGGATGAAGTACATRTCTGAGGCAATGGGAATTGCAGCTTCTTGCAGCAGAAAATAGAATAATGGATTAGAAATTAAACATAAGTCTCCCAATTCAGAATCGTTTCATTATTTTGCAAAATACTAGGCCTCTGACCATGTCTTTTATGGTAAAAAATGTATAGGAAAAGTAACTTGTAAGCTGGCATTTTAGATGAGCGYTCTTTAACCAGTTCAGTTGACGAAAGATGCTGCTTCATAATGATCTTCAAGTAAAAAAGACATGGTCAGAGGCCATGTGGATATAGGGATTTTAACAAGTTTCCCACTTTAGCTTTTCTTTGAGTTTATATATATGAGAAGTCCTAAATATTTACAAATCATATTCTCTTTTGAAGGGATATTCAAGAAAAATAGTTTTGAAGCAACTGTTGAATGCTGCTGTGCACTGGATGAAAGCAGGTCTTCCTCTTCGTACCCTGAAGATCGTTCTGTTTTCAAGGAATCCAGAGAAGGAAGATAAGGGAATGGAACCTTTGTTTGAGCTTTTTCAAAATTTTCAGACAAAAACAGAGGATGCTGATGAGTTGGAAGAAAAGGATGAGGTAAATTTCAGCAAAATGCTTATGTTGAAGTGAACTCCTTTATAAGTTTAGAAAAACGTTATCCCAGCCTTAAAGATGAAAATGTAGATTTTACACTGACTGAGCAGGGATTCTGTGAGATGGTGGRAAAGCAGTAAATATATGATGTATATCTAATTTATATAATTTTTAAAATATTTTCACCCTATCATGTAATTCAAGGACTTCCAAGAGAGATTGAGGGTTCATAGCCTTCACTCTTTTAGTCTTGTACATGCTAGTATGCTCCATTTTTCTATGTAAGCTCCTGCCTCACTCCCACTTTTTAGGAAGTTTTGCTGTCCATGAACTTCAAAGTTCCTTGTTACTCTGCTTATACATTTTCATGTATAAAATTTAGGGACCTCTTATTAATTAAAGAAGGGCTAGTGCAAATGGGGGGTGGTTCATAAACTTAAAGGAAGGGTCATGAAAATTTCTGCAAGCACTCAAGGAAGGGTCACTATTTTTTTGTGCAAAATAATATGAGGGCCAAATTTTTTCAGGAAAGAGGGGGGTCTTAAAAATATGCAGATAAAAAGTAAATTTGTAATTATTAAGATTAAATTAACTGACCTTGTTTTGTCTCAAGGAGGATGACTTGTTGTATGATATCTACATATCCCATTGTCCAAATGAACACAGCTTGGCGCTTAAAATCAAAGAATTTCTTCAGGAAAAAGAAAGCAAAAGCCTCAAAATATTTGACGAAGTACAACAACTCAACGAAAACGAATCTTGGCAAGAAGATATCTATAAAATCATGGTGAAATGCTCACGTGTTGTGACGTTGCTAAGCCCAGATTATCTGGCTAATGAGAGTTGCATTGAACAGTACAACATTGCGTTGTGTATCAGTCGAAGGAAACATAAGGAAGTGCTGGCACCTTTTTATGTTATTTCTGTGGAGAACCTGCCGACTTATATGGGACTGATGCAGTATATCGATTGTAGGTGGGTAAAGACTAACTTACACCTATTTCAAAAAACGTTGTCTGTTGGAGAACTGAAATGTGCGATGTGAGACTAAGGCCCCGTCCACACGTATCCGGAAATTTTTGTATCCGCAAATTATTTTTTGCGGATACGAAAATGTTTGCGTCCACACGCAGCGTATTCGAATCGTTT